GGGAGGGGGTAAAGGAGGTTTTGTGTGCGAGGGGCTTGGACTTCCAGCAGGCATGCGTGAGCGTGTTTGATAGGAGTGAATGGAGACAAATGGTTTTTAATACTTGACGTGCTGTTGGAGTGTGAGCAAAGTAACATTTATGAAGGGGTTCAGGGAAACCGGCAGGCCGGACTCGAGTCCTGGAGATGGGAAGTACAGTGCCTGCACTCTGAAGGAGGGGTGTTAATGTTGCAGTTTAAAAACTGTAGTGTAAAGCACCCTTCTGGCAAGACAGTGATGGAGTGAATGATGGTGAAAGTTTTACTTTTTCGGGCCACCCTGCCTTGGTGGGAATCGGCCAGTGTGATAAAAAAAAAAAAAAATAATAGTGTTGCACATGTGTCTAATTTATCAATGTTTATTTTACTCATTCTCCCTTATATCTCACTCCAGTATGTTATGGGAGTGCAGACCCTCAAGCACCTACCACATACACATTATCATTTCTCTCTCCTCTGCTCCAGCAAATATGAATGTAGGACACAGAGGCGTTTCCAGTACAGTGGACCCCCGCATACCGTTGGCCTTACATAACGTTAAATCCGCATACCGCTACATTTTATCGCTAAGATTTTGCCTCGCATACCGCTAAAAAACCCGCTCAACGCTGTTCGTCCGAGACGCGTCTATGTGCGGCCTGAGCCACCCTCACCCACCGGTGGCATTCTTTACCAGCCAGCCTCCGCGGTAACATCCAAGCATACAATTGGAACATTTCGTATTATTACAGTGTTTTTGGTGATTTTATCTGCAAAATAAGTGACCAAGGGCCCCAAGAAAGCTTCTAGTGCCAACCCTACAGCAATAAGGGTGAGAATTAGTATAGAGATGAAGAAAAAGATCATTGATAAGTATGAAAGTGGAGTGCGTGTCTCCGTACAGCTGCTGCTGCTGCTGCTGTACCACCATCAGCTGCTGCTGCACTGTCAGCTGCTGCTGCTGCTGCTGTAGCACCGTCAGCTGCTGCTGTACCACCGTCAGCTGCTGCTGCTGTAGCACCGTCAGCTGCTGCTGTACCACCGTCAGCTGCTGCTGCTGTAGCACCGTCAGCTGCTGCTGTACCACCGTCAGCTGCTGCTGCTGTAGCACCGTCAGCTGCTGCTGTACCACCGTCAGCTGCTGCTGTAGCACCGTCTGCTGCTGCTGTAGCACCGTCTGCTGCTGCTGTAGCACCGTCTGCTGCTGCTGTAGCACCGTCTGCTGCTGCTGTAGCACCGTCAGCTGCTGCTGCTGCTGTAGCACCGTCAGCTGCTGCTGCTGCTGTACCACCGTCAGCTGCTGCTGCTGCTGTACCACCGTCAGCTGCTGCTGCTGCTGTACCACCGTCAGCTGCTGCTGCTGCTGTACCACCGTCAGCTGCTGCTGCTGCTGTACCACCGTCAGCTGCTGCTGCTGCTGTACCACCGTCAGCTGCTGCTGCTGCTGTACCACCGTCAGCTGCTGCTGCTGTTGTACCACCGTCAGCTGCTGCTGCTGTTGTACCACCGTCAGCTGCTGCTGCTGTTGTACCACCGTCAGCTGCTGCTGCTGTTGTACCACCGTCAGCTGCTGCTGCTGTTGTACCACCGTCAGCTGCTGCTGCTGTTGTACCACCGTCAGCTGCTGCTGCTGTTGTACCACCGTCAGCTGCTGCTGCTGCTGTTGTACCACCGTCAGCTGCTGCTGCTGTTGTACCACCGTCAGCTGCTGCTGCTGCTGTTGTACCACCGTCAGCTGCTGCTGCTGCTGTTGTACCACCGTCAGCTGCTGCTGCTGCTGTTGTACCACCGTCAGCTGCTGCTGCTGCTGTTGTACCACCGTCAGCTGCTGCTGCTGCTGTTGTACCACCGTCAGCTGCTGCTGCTGCTGTTGTACCACCGTCAGCTGCTGCTGCTGCTGTTGTACCACCGTCAGCTGCTGCTGCTGCTGTTGTACCACCGTCAGCTGCTGCTGCTGCTGTTGTACCACCGTCAGCTGCTGCTGCTGCTGTACCACCGTCAGCTGCTGCTGCTGTTGTACACCGTCAGCTGCTGCTGTGTGTACCACCGTCAGCTGCTGCTGCTGCTGTTGTACCACCGTCAGCTGCTGCTGCTGCTGTTGTACCACCGTCAGCTGCTGCTGCTGCTGTTGTACCACCGTCAGCTGCTGCTGCTGCTGTTGTACCACCGTCAGCTGCTGCTGCTGCTGTTGTACCACCGTCAGCTGCTGCTGCTGCTGTTGTACCACCGTCAGCTGCTGCTGCTGCTGTTGTACCACCGTCAGCTGCTGCTCTGTGTACCACCGTCAGCTGCTGCTGCTGCTGTGTACCACCGTCAGCTGCTGCTGCTGCTGTTGTACCACCGTCAGCTGCTGCTGCTGCTGTTGTACCACCGTCAGCTGCTGCTGCTGCTGTTGTACCACCGTCAGTGCTGCTGCTGCTGTTGTACCACCGTCAGCTGCTGCTGCTGCTGTGTAGTCCACCGTCCTGCTGCTGCTGTGTACACCGTCCTGCTGCTGTGCAGGCTGCTGTAGCACCGTCTGCTGCTGCTGTAGCACCGTCTGCTGCTGCTGTAGCACCGTCTGCTGCTGCTGTAGCACCGTCTGCTGCTGCTGTAGCACCGTCTGCTGCTGCTGTAGCACCGTCTGCTGCTGCTGTAGCACGTCTGCTGCTGCTGTAGCACCGTCTGCTGCTGCGTGCTCGCTGCTGCTGCTGTAGCATCGCTCTGCTGCTGCTGTAGCACTGTCAGCTGCTGCTGCTGCTGTACCACCGTCAGCTGCTGCTGCTGCTGTACCACCGTCAGCTGCTGCTGCTGTACCACTGTCAGCTGCTGCTGCTACTGTACCACCGTCAGCTGCTGCTGCTGCTGTACCACCGTCAGCTGCTGCTGCTGCTGTACCACCGTCAGCTGCTGCTGCTGCTGTACCACCGTCAGCTGCTGCTGCTGCTGTACCACCGTCAGCTGCTGCTGCTGCACCACCGTCAGCTGCTGCTGCTGTACCACCGTCAGCTGCTGCTGCTGTACCACCGTCAGCTGCTGCTGCTGTACCACCGTCAGCTGCTGCTGCTGTACCACCGTCAGCTGCTGCTGCTGTGCTGTTGCTGTAGTACCGTCTGCTGCTGCTGTAGCATCGTCTGCTGCTGCTGTAGCATCGTCTGCTGCTGCTGTAGCACTGTCAGCTGCTGCTGCTGCTGCTGCTGCTGTAGCACCATTGTTGGTGTGGCTTATTGAGAATACCAAGAAACAATTAACCCCAGAGGATTAGCCACCCAGGATAACCCAAAAATGTCAGTGTCATCGAAGACTGTCTAACTTATTTCCATTGGGGTCCTTAATCTTGTCTCCCAGGATGCAACCCACACCAGTCCACTAACACCCAGGTGAACAGGGAAAAATGCCTGCAACTAGTGCTCATATTGGTGAATTTAAAGCCAGTAAAGGTTGGTTTGAGAGATTTAAGAATCTAAGTGGCATACACAGTGTGATAAGGCCTGTTCTGGAAGAAAATGCCAAACAGGACCTACAGTACTCAGGAGGAAAAGGCACTCCCAGGACAGTGTCTCATCAGTCATTGCTGCATCTTCAATAAAGGTAAGTGTCATTTATTCTTCATTTAGTAGAGTAGTACATGCACAATATATATTGTGCATGTACTACTCTACTATTGTGCATGTATCCTTCTCTTTGTGTGTAGGAAAATGTATATTTCATGTGGTAAAAAATTTTTTTCATACTTTTGGGTGTCTTGCACGGATTAATTTGATTTCCATTATTTCTTATGGGGAAAATTCATTCACATAACGATAATTTCGCATAACAATGAGCTCTCATGCACGGATTAATATCGTTATGCGGGGGTCCACTGTACATGATCTCTGTATTTGTTCCATTTCTGATGTCTTTCTTACCCCTTCAAGAAGCCATCAACACTAAACAATACTCTAAAGTGAAAGAGTACAAGTGATTTGAAAAGTATCACCATCAGCACTAATTCCATTGTTTTTAAAGTTTTCATTATAAATTCCATCATTTTCCTGGCTTTTGTGACATTTGCCTAATTGTATTCTTTGAAAGAAAAGTCAGCTGATATTACAACCAGATCTTTACCATGTTCCTTTCATTCTTTTTGGTCTTCATCTTGCATTTTGTATATAGTGTCTCCTGAGTTCATTCTTCCCATATCTAAGCATGTGGAACTTGTAATCATTGAATGTAATATTCATTCTCCACTTACCCACTGGAAGACTGTTTTCATCTTAAAATTTCTTTCTGTCTTCTACCTAAGCAATTTTCTTGTTTATTCTGGTATAACATTCAAATATGAAACTATGGCGAGTGTTTTTTGTCTATGTCCACTATGAGAATAAAAACAGTAAAATGTACCAGGACCATACCTTGGGGTATGGAGCTTTTTACCTTGCTAAGGCTGGATTTCATTCTGCTATTACTCTGTACTCTGTTTGTCAGCCAGTAGAAAAACCATTTGCCTACTTTCCCATTATACATCCCCCCACCTACACACTTCTGCAACTGTAAGCCTGATTCAAGTTGTCTTATTTGGCATTCAAGTTTAGAGCTAGTGGCCAGGGACTTTGTATTTTGCACCTTGCTGCCATTACACCTGTTCTGTCACATAATTATTATGGGGCAGTGCAAAACCTACAGAGATTATACAAAGCCTGTAGGGAAGGGGGAGAATGGAAGGCATTCAGATTCAATTCAGGGAACTGGAGCACAGATCCAATTCCCTAGATCAAGAACCACTCACCAGCATTAAAGAACCTCCCTTGAGGGGTCTTCCATCTGATAATTCATTAATGTGCTAAACTATGTTCTTCCACATTTAGAGTTCCACATTTCCCAGACTAAACTCTAGAAGTGTCTATGCTACAGAGACAAGCTTACTCAAGTTGAGAACAGAAGGGGAAATCTGGGTTCTTTTTATCTTTCAGCTTTTTAGGAACACACAACTAACTGCCTTGTACTGTACCATAAATAACATACCTTAGGCGGTTTAAATGGATATTCCGCTGAAAAGTGAATGTCAAGGAAGAAGACACCACCTTCGTAGACAGAGCCAGGAGGACCAAGTATAGTAGAGACCCATTCATATAAATTGTCCCCCTTAGGTCCAGCACTACAGTTGGGAGGAGGGTCCAAAGTGATTTCTGCCAGCTCCTTTTGTATCCTGCAAAACCATAAAACAAAAATTTTACAGGAATTAGAACAGTTTTACTCTTAGCCCTTTGACAGTCCAAGCCATATTTCTACACCCTGTCCACAGGGTCCAAGCCGTAGTTCTACGCCAAGAGCTCAATTCACTCAGGAAAGCTGTGAGCGGTAAATTTAGGCCCAGATACGAGAGAATGGATCTGTGGTAAGTGTGCACACCATATAAAAAATCTTTTAGCAAGCAGTGCATGAGAAAAAAAAAAAACTACCGTATTTTTGGATTGAAACCGACTTTGCAGTGTATTTTCGTATGGTTTTTACAGTTGTATTTGCAGTGTCTTGGTCTTATTTGATAGAAAGGAATATATACTACAGAAATAGAGTAGATTCTGATTGGTTTTATTACTGAAAATAGCTTGAAAGTGAGCTCAAAGTAGCAGATATGTTCGATTTTTACCAATATTCAAGAGTAAACACATGACGTCATACGTCCAATACACGTCAACTGGCGAGTTGAACATACATTCACGAATGGGATGATAATATTTATACAATTATTACAATATTGAATAACAGTAAATATTCTATTTTTTGATGCAAATAAAAATTCTTTATGCGAATTAAAAATCAAAATGGAATTTATCTGTAAAGCCTGGAAACACAACTAATAAACAGAGGAAATGTTTTTTCAGTGCCTGGAATGCCTGCATTGTTTATTCTGGACCCTAATTTGAAATTGGCCAAATTACCAATTTTTGATCACTTTATTGGGTAGTTGAAATAGTTGTCTGGGCAGTTTCTTGTGCTCAATCAATAAAATAGAACTAATACTAGTGAAACAGCTAAGAATTTGGTAGACTGGAATAATGTAATTGACCTAAAACTTAGCATAGATTATGTGTCAATCAAGCTCAATAATATCGAATACCTGAAAGTGCATACAACTTTGACAGTGTGCCATACACAGTACCTGATGAAACAAACTAAATTACATCACTAAACCCATGTAAATAAAGATATTGATAGTATTGAAATAATGTATACAAATATAATTATGAAGAAACCCATACATTTGAAAATGTGCAAAAGTTTAAAAAAAAAAAAAAGCTTGCCTTTTAGCACTTGTGCTAAGTGCCTTGGACATCTTGGGATTGGATGAACGTCCCTCACTCGCAACGGAGGATCGTGCTGAGCTGGAGTGCCGTGCAGTGCCACTGGAACTTTGAGTGACGGGGGTGGAGCCAGTCGACACAACTGGGGAGGTTGCTGGGGTTTGGGGACCAGTTGTGACGGGGGGAAGAGGGGGAGACACGGGGACAGAGTCTGACCCGAGGGCACCAGTGGATTGCGCAGACATCAATCACTGCCTGAAATAAATTAACACAAATAAAAATAGGAAGTCACATTTTACTTACGTTTAGTAAAACATATACAAGTGTAGTACAGGAAAAGGGGTTACCAATCCCTTTCTCTCGGCATTTTAGTTGCCTTTTACAACACGCTTGGCTTATGGGGCACTGCACCAATCAGCACTGCCCTCAGTGAACCTTGGCATACATTTTCAATTTTTTCTTCACTCTTCCACACACATCGGTATTGTTCACATTGAGGAAATCAGCGAACGTAGGGCTTGTATACAAGTTGTCCATGAACAACGCATGGCCCTTGCCAAGGCATGGTTCCATCATCTTCTAAACATCACTGGAAATGCCCAATATCCACCTGGCATCGTCCAGCGTGTTTCTCCCAGTGTAGACAACAACACCAAGCCAGTCTCACAGTCACACAAAGTTTTATACCAAATCAATTACAAATGCTTGGTATATATTGCTTGAACAACAGGTGTCCCTTAAGAGAATGGAGGACTTGTCAACAACGAAGTTTCTGAAGGGCGTAAAAGTAAGCACTGAATTTTTGTTTCAGATACATAAACACTTCCCAGATTTTGTATAGCAGGTTGTTTCTGCTGGGTCTATTACTGTCTGAGAAGCAACATTCATGGCAACAGCATGAATCTGTTGCAAGAGAGTTGGTCATGAAAGATTGGGGTACTGATGTAGCAGTCTGTGGACCAGAACTGTGCTATACTGTGCTTGCAGATACGTGGCATAAGCATGACTGTGGCAAGGAATAGATATATTTCGACCACAGTAGTAACTTTCCACCTGTGCAGCCATGACAATTCTGAGGTGCTTGTTATCCATTTCATAGTGGCAATACCTGTCTGTCTAGCTAATGATCAGGTTCACAAGAGGCTCATCAAAGTACAGTTGGAAGTTCAGTACAGTGGAACCTCAACTTATGAGTGCCCCAACATGCGAGTTTTTCAAGATACAAGCCATCGCTCTGTCGATTTCTTGCTCTGAGTTACAAACCAATATTCGAGTTACGAGTGAGCTTCCCACCCTTCCCCCTCAACCCACAACCCCACACCTTGCTTGTTTATCTATGATTTCATGCTTTAATTCCATTGAAATCATCTCTCTTCTCAACACTGTCCTTTGCACTTACTTTCTTAGGACCCATGGTTAAAAAAAAAAAAATTTGGCCAAATAACTAAAAATGCAAGCAGAGCATGATAAAAATACTTCCATAGTACAAGCAGTCGCTCGGTCGGTTTTTTGCTTCCAAATGCAAGCGAAATTTCCAGATGCGAGCAGGCCTCAAGGGAGGTTCCTTGACACTGGTGAGGGGCTCTTGGTCTAGAGAACTGAATCTCAGTTATTTGTTGGACTATCTTATTGAAACTTGGGCAATGCATGATGGAAAGATGCTTCTTAATGTACACCAAAAATGAAATAAATTGGACCATAAATAACAGAGCTCACTTCTCAGCCATTAGCCTCCCCTTAACGGTATACAGTGGACCCTCGCCTAACAATGGCATCGCATAATGTTAAATCCGCCTAGAGATACATTTTAATGCAAAAATTTTGCCTCGGCTAGCGCTAAAAAACTCGCTCAACGCGATTCGTTCGAGATGCGTCCACATGCAGCCTGAGCCAGCCTCACTTGTTCCGTGGGTGCCAGTGTTTACAAGCCAGCCACCGCGTTCGCTTCCAAGCATACAATCGGAGCATTTCATATTATCACAGCCTTTTTAGTGTGATTGCCCCTGCAAAATAAGTCACCATGGGCCACAAGAAAGCTTCTAGTGCCAACCCTACAGGAAAAAGGGTGAGAATTACTATGGATATGAAGAAAGAGATCATTGCTAAGTATGAAAGTGGAGTGCGTGTCTCCGAGCTGGCCAGGTTATACACAAAACCCCAATCAACCATCGACACTATTGTGGCCAAGAAAACGGCAATCAAGGAAGCTATTCTTGCCAAAGGTGCACCTTTGTTTTCGAAACAGAGATCGCAAGTGATAAAAGATGATGAGAGACTGCTATTGGTGCGGATAAATGAAAAACAGATAGCAGGAGATAGCATCTCTCAAGCGATCATATGTGAAAAGGCTAGGAAGTTGCATGACAATTGAATTAGAAAAATGCCTGCAACTAGTGGTGATGTGAGTGAATTTAAGGCCAGCAAAGGTTGGTTTGAGAGATTTAAGAATCGTAGTGGCATACACAGTGTGATAAGGCATGGTGAGGCTGCCAGTTCGGACCACAAAGCGGCTGAAAAATATGTACAGGAATTCAAGGAGTACATAGACAGTGAAGGACTGAAACCTGAACAAGTTTTTAATTGTGACAAAACATTCCTGTTTTGGAAGAAAATGCCAAGCAGGGCCTACATTACTCAGGAGGAAAAGGCACTCCCAGGACATAAGCCTATGAAAGACAGGCTTACTCTGTTGATGTGTGCTAATGCTAGTGGTGATTGCAAAGTGAAGCCTTTATTGGCGTATCACTCAAACTCTCAGAGTGTTCAGGAAAAACAATGTCCTCAAGGCTAATTTGTGTGTGCTGTGGAGGGCAAACAGTAAGGCATGGCTCACTAGGGACTTTTTCTATGACTGGTTACACCATGCATTTGCCCGCACTGAAAAATTACCTCCTGGAAAATAAATTGGACCTTAAGTGCCTCCTGGTATTAGACAATGCTCCTGGTCATCCTTCAGACGTGGCAGAGCGACTTTCTGCAGAAATGAGCTTCATTAATTAAAGGTCAAGTTTTTGCCTCCTAATACCACTCCTCTCCTGCAGCCCATGGACCAGCAGGTCACTGCAAACTTCAAAAAACTCTACACAAAAGCTATGTTTGAAAGGTGCTTTGTAGTGACCTCAGAAACTCAATTGGCTCTAAGAGAGTTTTGGAGAGATCACTTTAGCATCCTCAATTGTGTAAACATTATAGGTAAGGCTTGGGAGAGAGTGACTAAGAGGACCTTGAACTCTGCTTGGAAGAAACTGTGGCCAGAATGTGTAGACAAAAGGAATTTTGAAGGGTTTGAGGCTAACTCTGGGAATCCTATGCCAGTTGAGGAATCCATTGTGGGACTGGGGAAGTCCTTGGGGTTGGAGGTTAGTGGGGAGGATGTGGAAACGTTGGTGGAGGAGGACAATGACGAACTAACCACTGATGAGCTGCTAGATCATCTTCAACAGCAAGAGGCCAGACCTGAGGAAACTGCTCCGGAGGAGAGGATAGAGAAATTGAGGAAGTTGCCTACTTCAAAGATTAAGGAAATGTGTGCAATGTGGCTTAAAGTGCAAACCTTTTTTGATGAAAATCACCCTCACACAGCTACTGCAAGCCGTGCTGGTGACTATTACACTGACAATGTTGTGAAACACTTTAGGAATGTCATAAAGGAACGGGAGGTACAGGCTTCTATGGACAGAGATGTTATGCAACAGAGGTCCAGTGACTCAAGCTGGTCCTAGTGGCATTAAAAGAAGAAGGGAAGTAACCCTAGAAAAGGACTTGCCACCTCAAGTCCTAATGGAAGGGGATTCCCCCTTCTAAACATTAACACCATCCACACTCTCCCCTCCTCCCATCCCATCAATCATCACCAGATCTTCAATAAAGGTAAGTGTCATGTAACTGTGCATGTCTTCTTCAGTTTGTGTGTACTAAAATTAACATTTCATGTGGTAAAAAAAAATTTTTTCATACTTTGGGGGTGTCAGGAATGGATTAATTTGATTTCCATTATTTCTTTTGAGGAAAATTAATTCGGCTAACGATAATTTCGCCTAACGTTGAGCTCTCAGGAACGGATTAATATCATTAGGCGAGGGTCCACTGTATTTTCATATGGTTTTTATGGTTGTATTCTCGTTTTTTTTAGTTTCGTTTGACAGAATGGAAAATATACCACAGAAACAGATACGACTGACTGGTTTCACGACAAAAAGTACCTTGAAACTGAGCTCAAGGTAGCAAAAATTTTCGAGTATTTGGCAATGTTCAAGAGTAAACAAATGACGTTACCATCCAATATCTGTCCAATTGGCACTTCCTCTCAACCTTCACATATTGGAAAGCTCTTCAACATGCTAGCAAAAGTGGGTGCAGACATCATGAGGCAGCAGTGGCAGACCTTGTTGTACCCTATACTATAAGCGAGTTTCCAAACGCCACCACAAGATGGCAGTATCAAAATACTCAGTCCACTCCACTTGCAGTGGAGGGAATTCTCGTGTTTTCCTTAGGTTTCATGCAGTTATTTTGCGAAAGTTCTTGTTTCTAACCATGGGTCCTAAGAAAGCAAGTGCGAAGGACAGTGCCGAGAAGAAAAAAAAGGATGACTTCCATGGAATTAAAACAGGAAATCATAGATAAACAAACTAGGTGGAGGGTTAAAGACTTGGCCAGGCAGTACCAGCATACCACTTCTATGATATGTACAATACTAAAGCAGGAGGAGTCAGTGACAAAGTGTAGCAATTATAAGTCACTAACTCTTTTGGGTTATCCTAGGTTCTCTACACGTAGTCAGGAGCAGGAATGGCTACTGTGGTGGCCCTATAAACCCCAACAATAATGGCCGCTGTCACCACCACTAGCCACATACGTGATGACATGTATTTTATTCATTCTAGTGTACATATCATGTTTCTGTCATTAATATTGTTTATTCAAATCAAATTAAGTTTATTCTCTATTAAGATTACAATGCGGGGTTTACATATTTTAGGATATTGTGTGGTGGTTAACATGTCACAAAATACTAATTACAGAGGGGCCCCACTAACACCCAGCATAGCTAGGCATTTTGGGCAGACTAAGATTAATTCATAACTCTAAATTATTACAGATTATGGAGCTTGGACTTCCAGCAGGCGTGCATGAGCGTGTTCGATAGGAGTGAATGGAGACGAATGGTATTTGGGACCTGACGATCTGTTGCAGTGTGAGCAGGGTAGTACTTAGTGAAGGGATTCAGGGAAACCGGTTATTTTTATAT